TTTTTCAAACTATTGAATGTAAATTTGTTTTATGTTTTCAATAACTTTTTCATATTTGACTTTTTAACATTTTATTTTTTCAAACTTTATACTTTCATGTTTTTAACAGATTTTATACATTCACATTTCGTTTTTTGAGATTGAGTTTGACTAGTTGCAGTCTTTAAAATTGCTTTTCACAGATCAAAGTTCAGCTTCAAGCCCGATACAAAATCTCACTCTTGACCAATAAAAATGTTTTTTTTAACATCCATCCAGATCAATAGAAATTAATCTTCAGTCCTTACTATAGAACTGAATAGAATGTGATCTGAAAAAAAACACATTTAAAAAGAATTTCTAAAACTTAGTCTGTAAAAGACAAAAAAAAAAAAAAAAAAAATTTTGAAAATATAACATTTAAAATTAGAATTTTCTTTGGAAAAGAACAAAAAATGAACAAAAAACACATCAGAGGAAGCAGCAAAGTTACGCTCAAATACCTTTTATTGTTCTGATTAAGCAGGGTTTCAAAGTTTCATTCTTGGATTTTTTTTTTCCCCATTTAAAAATGTTTTCTGTTACTTGTAACAATATTGAAACAAAATTCACTCCATACAATCAGCAGTCTAATGATAAGTTGGTCAAATAATTAACACTCCTATCCAATCCAATCCACTTTATTTATATAGCTCGATTTCAATAAACACAAGGTTTCCAAAGTGCTGCACAAAAAAGATAAAATAACTAAAATAAATCAAAAAAAATAATAATAATAATAAATAAATACACAATACACCTAAAATAAACTCATTTGATCTCTGACAGGTCTGTTGCTAAGCATCATCTAGTGCTACTGAAAGTCATAGAATAAATTAGGATGCAGTTTATTTTCATTAATTATTTTCAAAAATAATGTGAAAAAATAAACTGTAGCACAAAAGCAAAATAATGAATAAAGCTGTTAAAATAAAGAGACATAATTAATTATCGGTGTCAATCCGCCTCCAAGACTATTTTATATTTTCTACAAGCTTAAAGATACTTTGATAAAAAAAAAAAAAAGAAAAAGGAAAAAAAAAAGAAATATGATTTCATAATGAAACTGCGTTTTTATAGAAATCATCGTACAAGTAGAATTCCCAAACTGTCAGTTGTTGTTTGGGGCCCCCCATGTGACCCTGGAGCCCTAAGCGGTCCCTGAGTTCTCTGGTTCTTTGGGCCGGCCCTGGTTTAATCTGATCCTGATCTGATGCTTCACAGGAGGAGATGGACAGCCACCCCATGGTGTCATCACTTCTCAATAAACTGGCCAACTACACTAACCTCACCCAAGGAGCCCATGAGCACGAGGAAGCTGATGAAGAGGAGGGCGCCAAGAAGAAAGCCGTTAAGGTAACAGCCGTCTGTGTTTTTACCTGTTATGGCGTACGAAAGCACAGGAACCACCAATCTTTTAAAAAAGTTGTTATTTAACGGCGTCTTTAACCCGTTTTTTACCTCAGACCTTCCTCCGGTCCCCCCCTCTGTTCTTATATGACATAGCATTAATAGTTCTCATTATCGCTGGTCAGACGGAGCAGCGGCCACATTTAGGTTTCTGCACTAAGTTTGCCCCTCCATCTCTGGACCTTTTTTGGATCCAAACTATTTTGACAGTTTTGCCTCAAAGCACACAGATGCTTTTCTAACCACAGCCCCGGTCCCATGCTAGTGGGTCCCATCCACTGCTGCGGGCGCCTCCCACTGCCTCCCAGAAAGCAGTGGGTGAACAGATGAGGCCCCTCTTTGTCTGGAGAGCTGGAGGCTCATATCAGAGCTGTTAGTTCACCCAAGGTGGAATCTGATTTACCTTTCTTCTTTCTGTTTGACGGACTCTAAAGGACTGTCGTTTGTTTTTTAAGAGAAGGATTTTTGGAGGTATTGTTTTTACTGGAAGCTGAAGAGTTAGATGTAAATGCTTCTTTTGTCACCTTCATGTAAGTCTGATTTATATTTCATACTAAACATCTGTCAACTCAGCAAAAAACTAAAACTAAGGAGTCAGTTTTATTCAAATAAGTGTGTTTTTTTTTCTGTCTTGAGTTAATAGGTTTGTCAATGGAGTCGGATGATTCATGGTTAAAAAAGAAAATAAACTGTTATCTTATTTTAAGTGTATAATTCCTATTTATCTTATTTTGAAGGCAGACAGACTCCTTCCATCATCAGATTAACTGATTTATCTGCTCATATTAAGAACAAATACATAGATTTGAAGAATTTTGTATTTATTTTTGATCAGTTTCTGCAGTGGATTTATATCTTCTACTTTAAACAGCTGGTCTTATATTGAACATTTGCTCATGGAGATGATAAATATCCATATAAATAACATTCTACAGAGTAATGTTTTTTAATCCGATTGTCATCCAGAAATATGGAGGTTTTATATTTAAAACATTGCTTATACTATTTGGGGGCAGATTTTTGCTTAGAGGTAATTTCAATTTAAAAACGAGTTGAAAATTAAATCGAATTTATTTCAGACAGTTTTGACAAAACAGTCCCATTTTCCAAACTAACTAAATTAACGTGAACATAA